GGATTGAGCCTGACCTCTGCTTTTCCCTGGATTCCAGCAGGGTTGTTCCTCCTCCTCCGGGGACTCCCCGCGTGCCGTGACTGGATCCAAGACGGGAGGGGAAAAAAAAAAGGAAAAATCCAAGGAAATAAAGCTGGATCGGGCTGGAATTGAAGGGCTGCCTCGGGAATGATTAACGGAATCAATTCTTGATTGGATTTCAATCCAAATTTCCCTGTGCCGTTCCTTGCTGGAGCTCCTGGAGGTCACCGAGGTGGGAAATCCCAGGAGCTGCCTCACCTCCAGCTGCCCCTTTCCTTGGAGCATTCCCAGGAGCGGGAATGAGGTTTTTCCATGCCTCCTTCCAGCCTCCCAGCAGGTTCAGGAGCTGGGAAAAGCCTCTTTAATTCCAAGTGATGCTCCAGCAGAGGACAGGGCAGAGCTCCGGGAGCTTTGGGAAGCGACAATTCCAGCTCTGCCCTCCTCTCCTGGGAGCTCGGATCAGTGGGAATGTGGATATCATGGATCTAGGATCCAGCCAGCACCCATGGAATATCCTTGGGATTCCTCCCAGATATTCTTGGGATTCCTCCAAGATATTCTTGGGATTCCTCCAAGATATTCTTGGGATTCCTCCAAATTTGCCCTTTGTGGAATCCACCTGGCTGGAAGTGGGAACACCACACCTGAACAGATCCAGAAGATCCCAAAAACCCCCCGGATCGTGCAGGAATTGCGGGAATGATGCTCTCCCAGGATTGTTTGGTGGTGGCTCATTTTCCAAACTTCCCTCGCAGCCTTCAGGGCTGGGAATGGGATTTTTGCTTTCCACCCTCGTTTTCCAAAATGTTGGAACTCCTTGGGATGGACAGGATTTGCTGGATGAGGCTCCTGGGTTGGGATCATGGGATGGTTCTTCCAGCATTGGATCCATGAAAATTTGGACTGTCCCAGCTCCAGGGCAGCTCCAGCTCCTTGATCCCAAATATTCCTGAATTTTGAATTCCAGGGAGGAACCCTGACCCCAAACCATGGATAATGAAAAGCCAAATCCTTCCCCATGGAGCTGGATCCCACTTCCAGAGGGAATGAGGGGACTCTTCCATCCCTCAGTGTCCCTTCCCTGAAACAGGGATAAAAATTCCATCAGAGATGTGGGATCAGGAATGTCCTGGAAAACCTGGAAAAGCTGTGGGAGAGGGGATAAAGCCAGGACTGAAGTCACCAGTGAGACCAATCCCATTGCAGGTGGACAATGGTTTTATTTTCCATGCAAAACAGAGGAAATCAAGGAATTCATGGATACCAGGTGTCCCAGAGGCCAGAAAAAGGGATTTTAAAACTTTATCCAGATTCAGGATGTGGGAGCAGCTCCCTGGGAATGATCAAACCTCATGGATTGGTCCCCTTGGACATTCCTGGTCTGTCCCAAACCTTGCTTGGGTTCGGTGGAGGGTTGGGATCATCTGAGGAAAGTGGGAAATGAGGCTGTTCCCGGGAAAAATCCTTAAAAGCTGGTCAGGAAGGGAATGGATGGAGAATCAAGGGAGAAGCAGATTCTTGGGAATCGTGGGAATGACATGGAGCAGATCCCATCCAGCAGCCAACCGAGCTGGGGCTGGGATTTGGGGAAGGGTCCTGGATTTTCCATCTCCTGTCCATGTGCTGGGGAGATCCATGAGGAGCTCCTGCCTGGTGGGAATTCCTCAAATCCCGGGATAAGTGCTCCCAGCCCCACCCAGAGCAGGCAGGAATGCCAGGAACATCCCAGCTGTGGGAGAGGACATTCCAGGAGCAGGGACAGGAATCCCGGGAAGGGGATCCATTCCACCAGGGATGGCTCCGTGTGGACCTGCACCGCAGCCCTGCTCCAGAGCTCCTGACAGAATCCCCTGCAAATCCAGCCCATTCCTTGGTCACTGCTGGGAATTGCCTTGGTTTTCCCAGCCAGAACCCCATGGATGTGAATTCCCAAGATATCGGGAATGTGTTTTTGGAATCCGTCCCTCACCAGGTGGGGCTGGATCCTCCTCGATCCCAGGATGGAATTCGGGATCCTGCTGTGCTTGGGAATATCTGAACTCTTGTAGCACCTCCGGTTTGCTCCGATGGGAGTGAAAAAAGTGGGAAAAAACCTTGGAGTGTTGGCACGTGGAGGAGGAAAAGGAGGATGAGGGGATTCCTGGAGGCCAGGGAAGAGCTGGATGCCTGGGGGATTTGGGATGGGCTGGATGGGATCCAGCAGTGGGAAGGATTTGGGATGGGCTGGATGGGATCCAGCAGTGGGAAGGATTTGGGATGGGCTGGATGGGATCCAGCAGTGGGAAGGATTTGGGATGGGCTGGATGGGATCCAGCAGTGGGAAGGATTTGGGATGGGCTGGATGGGATCCAGCAGTGGGAAGGATTTGGGATGGGCTGGATGGGATCCAGCAGTGGGAAGGATTTGGGATGGGCTGGATGGGATCCAGCAGTGGGAAGGATTTGGGATGGGCTGGATGGGATCCAGCAGTGGGAAGGATTTGGGATGGGCTGGATGGGATCCAGCAGTGGGAAGGATTTGGGATGGGCTGGATGGGATC